GGCTGGGATTTTGCGAATGGGGATCGGGATATTATGCTTGCTAGTCAGTTTTTTGGGGACTCTTATTAGATGTGGGAGGGGGTTGATGGTGTCTGAGTGGGGGTTTGGAGAATTTTGGGATGATTTATGTATATAGGGCATGTTTGCATCGCATTGGGTGGATTGGGTTTTGCAAGATCCAGTGTGGTAGATCATTTTTGACATCCGTTAATGACATCTTAGGTTACATTCACATTCCTAAGTCCTGAAGCCGCGACGATAGCAAGTCTATCTCGACAACGATCATTGAGGCGTATGCATATACCCGGAAGGTTTGATTGGCGCGGACTTCGCCAAAACGCCATGGAGCGGCTGAGCTCGCTGCAGACCTCGTCGAAAATCGTTTAGGTGTTAAACTGCGCCCACATTTGACCTGTCGTTAACCGCCCGCCTTTCTCCCCGAAAGATGTCTTCTTCTACCGTCTTTACACATGCCTTGCCTTTTCGTCGATGGAAAATGACATACTCGACGCGACCTCAGATTCCTCGCGATCTGGGGTCAGTCACAACTTGGATCAACCGGAAGCCCCGCCCGCTACTGACTGGGTGTGTTCGTTTGGATCGTAGCGTAAGCAGCGACTGACCTTCACAGAACCCGTACCCACCATTGGAAGGACGGACCCATATTCGTTTACTAGAGCTGCACCCTGGAAACCCTGGAGATACTATAAAGACCACGTTAGTCACGAAAGACCTTCGGGATAAGCCTTGTTACGAAGCAGTCTCCTATGTTTGGGGTGAATTACAGCAATGGGTCAGCATATTACTCCATGACCATATTCACGAAATCCCAATGAATCTCTTCGATGCTCTCGTAAGTCTGAGGATATCGGATACAATCAGAGTACTTTGGGTCGATGCACTATGCATCAATCAGCCCGACATAGAAGAGAAGGTGCATCAAATTCCGCTAATGGGCGAGATCTATCAGACCGCGACTAGTGTTGTTGTGTATCTGGGCCAACCCACCGAGCAGACCGAAACAGATATGGAACACTTGCGCTGCTTTCTACAACCACACATCAGAGGAGAAGCCGCGCCATGGGCCCACATCGCAATACCCGATCTCGAACGCAGCATTTCCAACATTCTCGACAGACCTTGGTTTGAGCGAATGTGGACAGTCCAAGAGGCAGTCCTAGCGCGACACATCGTCCTGCAATGTGGCAATCACCAGATCCAATGGACCGCTGACTTACGTACCTTGAGAGCGTTAGTCTTTCGCGTAAAGTCCGCCATCATATCTCCGCTCTACAATCTGCACGAAATGGATGACGAAGAACCTGATTGGACGTCTTTGCTGTACATTCTTGAATCTCAGATGAGACAGGCTGCACGTAAGGAAGGTGTGGTACTGCAGCGGAATCTTCTCGATGTGGCTTTCGACTTTCGACATCGACGCTGCACCGAGCCGCGCGATAGGTACTTCGCTATCCTGGCTATCATTGAGAACGAACAAGGGGGTTCGTTCGATTTCGCTGTCGACTATAGTGTGAGCGTGGATGAGGTGCATGAGCGTTTCAGGGCTGCCGTCCAGCAGGTTAGTGATATAGAAGATGTTCCGCTTGGTTGAATCCGTGAGGTGTGGGATAGTGCTCCCGGAGAGTGCGATAGCAACAGATCTGTAAATAAGGTATCAGAAAGCACTCATGAACAGTCACTGTAGTTGAAATGAACGGTAGCCGAAGTACGTTGAGATTACTCTGATGATTGCAATCTCCCTCATTCAAGAGTACTTTTGTGTGGAGGTGATGAGTTTGTATTGCGGATATTGTGAGACGCTCGTCGCTCGTTCTGCGTCATCGCAGTCTCAGTGACGTGTTCTACGTACAGTTTAAGAAGATCGCAATCGACTAGACAAGATCAAAGTATTGAGCCGCGATACCGGCGTTTCTGAGTGCCTCCACACTTGTCTCGATTGTTGGAAAGTGCTTCTTTCCATGGTCATGAGCTTGAAAGCCGGGGTTGAGGAGTAGTTTATACAGTCTGGGATCTTTGAGCTGTACTTCTTCTGTATGCTCATTCCAAAAACCATCTTGGAAGTTCTTTATGTCGTCGTTGTAGGAACGAACTAGCTGTAAATGGTTAGGTAGAGGTCCCAACAGTGCCTCGCCGGTTTCGATCTCTGGCATATACAACGGCCCAACGACTTGATAAGTATCAGCCTCCGTTCGACGAAGGAGGATAGGATGTTCACAACCCAGAAGTACACAGATTACATCGCCCGTTCTGGCAGATAGTGGAGCGATGCCAACCGAACCTTCTGTCGTGACAAAGAAAGACCGGTTGCGGGACATCTCGCTGACTGTATGTAGGTACTTGCCCCACTCGTTTGTAGAGTCCACATCACCAGCCAAGAGGGGCTCTGTTTCCAATTTGGACTTGAATGTTTGCATGACCGATTTGAAGTGTGGATAGTCTTCGCGAACTGGGATTACGGCGTGGCGGAAAAGACCACAGCAAAGCGCTTCACACGTTGCAGGCAGACACAACTTCTCTGAGATGGAGAGAGCAGCCGAGTTGGAAACGACCATTTCCCAAAGGGCCTTCAGCATGGTCAGAAAGGTATCCTCGGAGTTGCCGAAGTCCATACGTTGTACACCATGTATTGTCGCTGAAGCCAAACCGACAACGCTCAAAATTTCATCTTCTTTGATGCTTGCAATTGCATCAAAACCCGCGCTTGCGTTGCTCACAGTTGCGGTGATTGGTGTCGTTCTTAAACTAGTCGACCAATCTGGGACCCATGTTGGCATATGGGAAGACATATCTTGCAGGTCACACTGGACGAGGATACTTAGTCTCTTCCTGTAATTTATGAACCGTAGAGTGGCGTCCAGGTAGACAAGAGCTACATCCATAGTGTAGTCTGGAACAATTCCCATGGTCTGCTGAGTTGTCGGAAGTAGGCTCAAGATGCCATATATCTTATCTCGGGGGTCAGAGCATACAACTTGAGTAAGCTCTGTCCGCAGATCTTGTAGACGATATATTGAGTTTCGGCAAATCCTCCACACCAACATAAGACGGGAAACAAAATTTGCATACTGGTGACCTCCAAGTGCTGACTTCCAAGTGAACCCTATTTTACGGATGAAGAAGACGGCACTCCTAAACAGATGCCAAGATATGGAGAGTTGGCCACAACGAATGATTGCATGAGTGGCCAGCCCGATCTCTTGCCGAATCCAGAGACGTTCAAACCACTGTCGATTTAAGAGACAATTGACAGCACGGGCTTCCTTGCCTTGAAATCGGTAACTTGGGAGTATCCCAACCATATTGGAAAACGGATCGTTGATTGGCATATTAGGCTTGAATGAGAACTTGGTCCAATCCACATCGATGCTTAAACCGACGGTATGCATCGCGTTGAAGGCATGAAAAGAGTCCTCGTCTTGGGGTCCAAGCCAGACAATAACTTCACATGCTGCTCGGTAGATGTCGCTCATCAAAGTGACTTGGTAGCTTCGTTCCTTCAGATCGTTCTGGTTAATGCAAATCGCGTCTACCCATAATGTTCGGGGCTGTTTCACGTCTCTGAGATGCTGTAACGCTGTCGCTAAGTTTTGCGTGACGGAAATGGTGTGATCTCGGGAAGGACCGACAAGGATGGGAACCAGATGGGCTGTCGAGCCCCAGACGTAGGATAGAGCCTCGTAGTTGGAAGTGCCATCCAAATGCACTTGCTCCAGCTCTACGTGAAGGTCATCTGAAAAGTCGCCAGGACTGAGTCTCAGCAGCCTTGTGTGTTTGCCTGCTTCGGGAAGCGGAAGAGCTGGATATTCGTATGGAAGCATGGCGATTTGAAAGCGAAGAGGCTTGGGCTTCGGATGAAAGCATCCGAGACGGAGGGTATGAGATTGTTACACCTGTAGCCAAGAGTTCAAACGTCGGCGCAGGACTTCGATTGACGGAATATGCGATATGACAGTTTGATGGTCTTAACGGGCTCGAGTATGTTCTTGTGGCGGAGACGGTGGTAGTGATGAAGGACGAACCGGACCAGATCTTCTCGGCCTTGCGGATTTGACGTTATCGTGGAGGGGTTGATCGTGAGTGAGATAGGATGAAGTCACGGAACATGCTTCGCGCCCCAACTTAAGTCCAGCGGAGGTGTGCCAGTGGCTGCAGCGATAGGCACCAGCGACCGCTGCGTTCCATGTCAGCTGCACTCTATGCTGTGAGCGAATGATGAGAGCCCATGCGTGGAACGTTGGTGTTGTGTTTGATTGGCGCTATGCTTGTGAGAACGCCATGTGGCGTTGTAGCTCTCACCGGAATATCATGAGTCCAATGACGGGCGCAGTCGTATCTCCACGCGTAGACAGGAGCCTTGCCAGGCCTCGGTTCGACAAAATTCGACCATCCCAGAGGCAGCCTCAGTCCGAAGTACCATGTCGCGATGCAGCAATCGTAACCCTTCATGGCAAGTTGCAACCTTTTATATCAGATCACTAAGTACCCAACGTTCTCGTAATGGCAAAACTGACGGCGATGTGTGAGCCAATCCTACACCACGGTCAATACTCAAAATACTCGGAAACGCGTAGGGCACTGCTGAAACAGCCATTCTCCTTGGCACAGTTGTCAGAATACTTGAGCGCAACGTCTCTCATATATGACAAGCAATTGAGTGTCGTGGTGGTCTTGAGGTTGAGAATGTCCGTGACGCGTCGAGATGCGCGTCATCGGAAATTGGCCTGAATGCCAAGCTCGATCGGCAGCGCTAAGTATCCCTGCTCATCGCGCCGGATGCTCGAGCAGCGGAAGCCGCGCCCCATCTCCAGCTGACAGCGTTCAAGATGGACCCAGTCTACATGTCTCGTTTGCCCTGCACCGGTTTGACCTTACCTTCACTTTAATTCTACGTACTGCCTATCGCTACCGGATATAATCTTCGCCATGCGCATCTAGCGAACCCCCATCATTACAGCACATCTACGAGAGTGAAGCCCACCATGGTTGTTAGATCGGCTTCAGGAACTCTGGGCGGGGTGCCTATGAAGCATGTTTCTCTCGTGACAGTAAGCCAATCTTCGTCGCCCTCATTGTATACGCAGAAGCTAATCCCTGCACAGCTTATATTTCAAAACTCTGCCCTCATCCTGGTACGATTGCCCTCCACCGCGAACCACTACACCAACGCGATCGAACAGCATACAGAACATGCGGATACTGTGGAGAAGCAAGCGGGGAGTGAAAGTGGCTGACGCGACCCCAGGTTATGCATTACTCCAGGATAATGCCTCTGACTGGAGAGCAACGATACCACGCAAGCACAAGCGTCTTCCTGAATGAGGTCATCAAGCTTGCTATAAGCTTGACTATGGTACGGCACTCGGGTTGAGAGGGATGAAGTGCTTTTAGGCTCACGACCGTCCTAGGCATTACACGAGATGTCAGGCAACCTTCCTTCGAACACGACGATTACCACACTCTTCCGTACCCTGACGACCGCGATCTTTACGAACGAAAGCTGGAAGCTTGCGATACCCGCCGTACTATACACGATACAAAACTCTCTCCAATACATCGCTGTCAGTAACCTGGACGCCGCGACGTTTCAGGTGACTTACCAGCTCAAGATCCTGACGACGGCTATCTTCAGTGTGTTAATGCTGGGCAGAACACTTTCGGCGCGCAAGTGGCTATCGTTGTTGCTTCTCATCATCGGCGTCTCTATTATACAAGTACCGCAAGCGACTGCGCCATCACCTCCACAAGCATCGGGCGTGAAACCATGGACCAAGACGCTGGAGCAGCTGCACGACCTTGGTGAAAATGTCGCAGGGCGGCTAGGGAAACGGTCTGGGTCATACGAAGGCATACACGCGGATCGCGCAGCCCAGACACCCCACATGAACTACCGGGTCGGGCTTATGGCTGTCCTGATCTCCTGCGCGCTTTCAGGCTTGGCTGGGGTTACCTTTGAAAAGATCTTGAAGGACTCCACGAGCGCTAAGCAAACACCACTCTGGGTCCGCAACTGCCAGCTCTGTTTCTGGTCGCTCTTTCCGTCGTTGTTCCTTGGAGTGATATGGAAGGATGGGGAGATCATAGCGAAGACTGGGTTCTTTGTCGGCTACAACTGGGTGGTGTGGACGGCTATCGGTCTTCAGGCAGCTGGTGGCATCGTGGTCGCGCTCGTCATCAACTATGCCGATAATATCGCCAAGAACTTTGCGACATCGATCTCGATCTTGGTTAGTTGCATTGCAAGCGTTTACTTCTTTGACTTCAGGGTGACGCGATCAGTAAGTCCTCAATGGCACAGTAAGGCTCATAATGCTGACCAGCGGTAGTTCTTCCTGGGCACATGCGTCGTGCTGTTCGCGACCTATCTTTACACCAAGCCTGAGCGGGGCTCGCAATCGTTGCCGGTCAAAATTGCCGACTTCGAGAAGACTACGGTGGATCGCACCATCGATACCAATAAGCCACGGAGGTCGTCTGTGTATGAAGCTGCTCCAAAAGCCACCCCGGACTCGCCCTCGATAGAACGGCATTCTCACAAGCGAGATGCTTGAGCGTTAGTAATATAGGGACCATTGATCTAGACGCCGATGATTTGCATGCATGACTGACAGAGATCTACGCGCTCACTACTTTCCTTGATCGAAGATTGCCGTCGAGTGACTCCGCCGAATCCGGATGTGGCACGTCAGGCCGCGACTTCCTCCCTCGTCACTTCCCTCTCATCTCGACTCTCACCTAACGCCCCACTCTAGATTCTGAATCTTTTCCGCCACGCCTTTACTGCCAAAGAGTCTCTGATTAAGCCACACGTAGCAGTCATGGACGACGACCACTACCCGTATGATGGCTACGAGCAGTTCGGCGGTCTCCGTCGCACGTCGCAGTACGACATGCTTCGGCCTCAGTTCAAGCAGCCTGGAAGACCAGTCGCACCTCGGGATCGCTATCGCGCCACTCAATATGACGACCCCCAGTATGACGTGGTTGAGGACGATAGCATGTACGACCGAGGTCAACAACTCGATTCATTCGGTATGTGGTCCCCTCGCTTCCGCAACTTCTTCGCTCACACTTGCAGATGACAGAGTGCTTCGACAACCGTATCCTGAATTTCAACGGCAAGCTGCACAAGGCACAAAGAGGTTATCACTTGCACCAGGTCCTTCCACGTTCTACAGTTATGCGGCGCCTACCCAATCGCAGCCGTCTTACCAGGCTCGTGATCAAGACATGTACCATGAAGAAGGTACTTTAGCCTGGACTGCAGAGACGCATCTGCTGACTAAGAAGCAGAGTACCATCCGCGTCCTGAGCAGGCTATGCGAGGTCAAATGAGTGAGTCGAAAGCACCTCTGCCAGTGGTGGTTGTGATCATGCTGACCACCGTCCAGGTCGCTTTGCATACAATGCCGCTCCGCTTCAAGAGTCCAGTTCCGACATGCCGCTCGGCCCGTCTTCTAGTCCAGCACTCAGGGCAAGTCAGCGACGTGCTGAGCAAGTCACTGATCTCGGACCTCAACACGGCTCAGAGGCCCCACCGTTCGAAGGCGACGGCCATGTTGTTGCTGAAGAGTACCGACAACAAAATGAGCGCTCCCATGGAAAGGCTGCACTGCCCAGTTTTCGACCACATGCTAGCCAGCAACGCGCATCCGCCGCACAGCACAGAGGCGACCTCAATCCTCCGCATCATCGACAAGCTCCCCCAGAGCCGCAGACGTACCCAGAAGATGTGCCTAGCGCTGCTCCCATGTGCCAAGGTATCCGCCTGGTCCCTGTCACTACCCTACCAGATCGTCTTCGAACGGTGTTTCCTTACCCGACCTTCAACGCCGTACAGTCCAAGTGTTTTGACCGAGTCTTCAGGACCGACGACAATTTCGTACTTGCATCCCCTACTGGAAGTGGCAAGACCGTCATTCTTGAGCTCGCTGTCTGTCGAGCTGTTGCCACCAACGCGACCGGCCAGTACAAAGTGGTCTATCAAGCGCCGACAAAGGCTTTGTGTGCAGAACGCCAACGTGACTGGGAAGCCAAGTTCAACAGGTTAGGCCTCAAATGCGCCGAGCTGACCGGTGACAGCGACCTTGGGGATCTACGCAACGTACAGAGCGCCAACATCATCATAACAACACCCGAGAAGTGGGACAGCATGACCAGGAAGTGGAAAGACCACGAGAAACTGATGAGACTCATCCGCGTCTTTCTTATCGATGAGGTACATATACTCAAGGAAGACCGTGGTGCCACGCTTGAGACGGTCGTGTCGCGGATGAAATCTATCGGCACAGATGTGCGCTTTGTGGCTTTATCAGCGACAGTGCCCAACTTCCATGACATTGCGGCATGGTTGGGAAAGAACTCGTCGGAACCAGATATCCCAGCCGCCAATGAGAAGTTTGGTGAAGAGTTCCGCCCAGTCAAACTACGCAAGCACGTTCGAGGCTTTGCGTACAACTTCAGCAACGAGTTCGGCTTTGAAAAAGTGCTCGATGCCAAGATTCCTGAGGTCATTGCTTCTCACTCCCAGCGTAAGCCTCTCATGGTCTTTTGCGCAACCCGAAACTCCACAGTCAGTACGGCGAAGCTGATAGCAAACTGGTGGGTCTCGGCATCAGACCGAGATCGCATGTGGAAGCCTCCGTCTAAGCCACCCATGCTGCTGAACAAGGAGCTTCGAGATACCGTGTCTTCCGGTGTAGCCTTTCATCACGCCGGACTTGATCTCGATGATCGAACTAAGATCGAAAAAGGGTTCATCGCTGGCGAGATCAGTGTCATCTGCTGCACATCCACGCTCGCGGTCGGAGTCAACCTACCCTGCCATCTCGTCATCATCAAGAATACCATGGCCTGGGGTGCGGAAGGAATGCAGGAGTATTCGGACCTGGAGATGATGCAGATGCTGGGTCGCGCCGGACGGCCTCAGTACGATGACTCAGCTGTAGCAGTGATTATGACCAGGCAGGCGAAAGTCCGACGGTACGAGATGTTGGTCACAGGCCAGGACCTCATCGAGAGTAAACTCCATCTCAACCTGGTAGATCATATGAACGCCGAGATTGGACTTGGAACCATTAGCGACCTAGAGTCAGCCAGGAAATGGCTAAGGGGTACATTCCTTTACGTCAGACTCCAGCAGAATCCTAGTTACTACAAACTGGACGGCGCTCGAAGTGGTCAAAGCATCGAGGAGCAAGTTGACGACATATGCTTCCGCGACATTACACTCTTGCGCGAGACCAATCTTGTGTCAGGGCAAGAGTACTTCCGGTGCACCGAGTTTGGCCATGCTATGGCACGGTACTACGTACATTTCGAGACTATGAAAGTCTTCATGGAACTCGGGCTGCGGTCCACTCCCTCGGAGATTGTACGTTACACAACCTTGGCGCTACTTGGAGGCCCTTGCTGACATGCATACACAGCTCTCCGCCATCGCTCAAGCTGTTGAGTATTCGACAATACGCTTTCGTCAAGGCGAAAAGGCATTCTACAAGCTGCTCAACAAGTCCGCTTCGATCCGCTGGGCTATCCCTGTCAACCTTGATCTACCATCGCAGAAGGTATCTCTCATCGTACAATCCGTTCTTGGGTCTGCCGATATCTCCTGGGAAGGCGAGGCCGGCAAACATCGTTCTCAATATACGACGGAGACACAAATCATCTTCAAGAATATTGGCAGTCTGATTCGATGCATCATCGACTGTCAGATCGCCTTAGGTGACTCCATCAGTATCCACAGTGCTCTCATGCTTGAGAGAAGCTTAGGCGCCAGAATCTGGGACGATAGTCCTCTACAAATGAAGCAAATCGGAAGCATCGGCAACGTCGCTGTCAGGAAGCTCGTCAACGCTGGGCTGAAGTCCATGGAGGATCTTGAAGGTTGCGAGCCCTATCGGATCGAGGCACTCGTTGGTCGAAATCCACCTTTTGGCCTCGACGTGCTCGAGAAAGTCCGGTCGTTTCCGAAGCTTCGCGTCTCACTTAATGCTCAACCGTCAACCGTAAGTCTACGATCTTTCTTTGAAGTGTATGTTCTAATGGCTATCCAGGCTATCAAAACCCACGATGGGGTCAAAATCCAGATCAAGGCAGACATCGGCTTCATCAACGAGCAGCCGCCCCAGCGCTTCAACAACAAACTCATATACGTGTGCCTTTTGGTGGACACTTCCGATGGCCGCAAGGTGCATTTTGCTCGCATCAGGTAGGCCATCACGATCTCGGTATTGCGCTGTACTAATCTTTGTCGCAGTGGCCCAAAGCTTGGGTCTGGCCAAAGCCTCACATTCCCAGCGCTCTTGACAAACCCCGACCAGTCTATCAACTGTTACGTCATGTGTGATGGCATCGGCATGTATTCTGGCTCGATTCTGGGAGCTACGACTGACTTTTACTAGCTGGCAGTATGCGTGCCGCCGCCGTGAAACCCCAGGTCGTCGCCTCTATGTTCCCAACTCCAAAGCGCTTGGAGTCAGAGCGGCCAGCATCACATCAGTCTAATATGTCAAAGCGCCGCACGGAAACTACAAGGCCAAGCAGAAAGGCGTCCGCAACCAGCGATGACTATGGAGATGGTGATGTGGATGATGATGCTCTTGTCAACGCTTCCTTCCGTGATCTTGACTTTGATCACATCGAGAACTACGCCGACCCTATCGATTCTATTACGCGGAAGAATACGGCGAAGAACAAAACGACCAAGAACAAGGATGACGAGAAGAGCAAACGCATCGTACGACCGATTGATACTACTGCTGAACAAGACGATCTAGAGCCAGTACAGCTAGCTAATGGAAAGTGGGCCTGCAATCACCCGTGCAAAGATCGAAGTGCATGCAAGCACCAGTGTTGCAAGACTGGTATGGATAAACCATCGAAGAAGAAAGCTGTCGCCAAGCGCGTACCATCGGGCGAAGATCGACCTGAGCCGATGCAGCAACCACCGCCGCCGAAAGGCAAAGAGAAGCAAACCAAGCTTCAGCTCACAGCATCTAAGAGAAAGATCTCTGCCCCAATTGACGAGCTCGATCTCACGCAACAAGAAAAGAAGCAGAAAGCCGACTATGGCACCAACGGACCTAGGGACTACCGCGGCCTGCATCAGCTGCACAAGACTATCCAGGGTAAAGGGCTTCCCTCTTCACTTCATTCGGTCAAGTACACGAAGCCAGCATATTGTTACTCCCAAGGTGGCGAGCATAGCCTTGACTTCATGGGCCGTTCTGCCGCTGAGCTGCATTCAGCTTCAAGCGATTATGGTGAATTCCAGTTTGACGAGCCACCAGCCGACTTCAATCATCCTCCGCATCAGTCTTCGCAACAAAGCTCGCTCGGTGACACACAAGAGTCGGACGTTTACATGGACTACGAGCCTGCAGCCCCTGTAGCCTCTCACGAATCTGACGCCTTTGACGATGACGACTCTGTCCTTCGAGAGGCTTTCATTGGGCTTGCAGATTCTCACAATCTTCAAGAGATTCGTGAAAGCGACACTAATACCATGCAGCCCTTCGAAAACGTCATCGACGATGACTACATGGGTTACGGAGAAGGTGACAAGCAGACGGACTCTAGTTTGATCAATTCCGAAGATCACGTTCCGCAAAAGCCGGAGTTCAGTCATCCCGATCATCCTCGCAAAGCACAAATCAAATCCTCTCGATCACCTTTCTTTGACAGTGAAGACAGTGCCGAAGCCAAGATTGCAATTGACATACCCGCAAAGGTATTCACGTCGCCAAATATGCAACAACGGATGGCTACGACACGCGAGCTGCATCTAGCTGGCGACCAACAAGACGCGTGTATCGACGACGAGGTAGCAGGCATATTGAACATGTTCGGCGATGAGCCGGCCGTTGTCTCACTGGTCGAGGAGAAGCCGGTACCCGAAGCTTTTAAGGACCTGGAGCCGTGGCTTTTCCAAGAGTTCGGCGACATCGTGGAACTTGTCGATGACTAGAGGTGCTACATCTGGAGTCACTGCGGTGAAATGGATAGGCAACGTGGACATGTGTGGGTTGGCGAAAATCTGGCGAAATCTAGTCACTAGCAATGGCCTCGTCTCTTCGACTCGCTATGTTCCTTGTCTGTTCCATCATACTGTGAGGTTGTCTTCCATTCTACGAAAGGATGTTGAGCTGGAAGTATACATAACCTTAGCCACGGTCAAGATGTTCAACTTCAACAGTGTACGCAACACGCAATCTAGTCACACCTAGAGTCAACTGACGAGTTGGCGAGGCTGACCAAGGCGACAACAGCATCGAGCTCTTTCGCCTTCATCTCCCTGACCTCCTCCTCTTTGACATCAGCCTCCATCTTGACATCTGGCAGATGCGACAGAAACCACCGCCACTCCTCCAGCCCATCCGCATACTCAGACTCAGCCTCAATCCCCCTCTCCGCCAACTTCCCCTTCATCACCTTATACCTCTCCACCATCCCAAACGTAATAACCGGCACAAACACATCCCCCGACCTCCCCAAAACACACTCATTCAATCTCGCCCTCAACGCCGGAAACATACGATTAAACTTCGACGCAAACGCATTCCCCTCCCTCTCCACCCTCGGCGGCAAATCCTCTCCACCCCTCCCCTTAATCGCCCTCCCCACAAACGTCTCATTGAACGCGTCCCTCACCTGCCTGCTCCCCGGAAGCATGATCCCGCGCTTCCTTGACTCCACAATGGAGAGCTGGAAGTAGAGCTCGAACCAGAGTTCCTCGGCTTCATACCATAGACTCACAGAGCGGGCTTTTAGGCCGGCGCGCCCGTAGATCTGGTTGCGCCACGCGTTTATCTGGGAGATGTGGTGGGGGTTGTGCCAGTCGATGAGGGAGTGCGGAATTTTGCGGAAGTGGAGTTCGGTTGTTTTGGAAGGGGTGGTGCTGCTGTCGCAGAGCATGAGGAGGAGGGATTCGTCTTTGACGCCGAGAGTGGCTTTTTTGCGGGGGCCGCGGGGGACGAGCGTGGACTTTGAGCCGGGTGTGTTGCGACTGGTACTTTTAGGCTTTTCGGTGGTGACTGGGGCAATTCCTGCTGATGTTTTGAGCTTCTTGGCTGGTGACGTGAGGGTTGGGTTGGTCGGCTCGTCCGCGCGGCGTTTGCGCTTCTGTGTGGTGATGGAGATGACGGAAGGGTGTGACTGGGGCTCGAGCTTCATAGTGTGGGTTGAGATATGAATCGACAGCCGAGTGTCGCAAGCGTCTCTGATCCCTCTGCGCAAGGTAGGCATCTTGCTTGCTGTGGGAGCTGGCAGGCGAAAGCACCAAATCCAATGTGAAAATCGAATACCCTGCAGTTTACCTTCGCACCGAAACGTGAGTTAGTGAACGGTCGGCGCTATGTAGACTTCTGGGTTGTTTACCTCCTGTGGGTCGTGTTGGTATGGTCGAAGCGGTGTTGTGTTGTGTGGTTTGGACAGTTGTGATGAAGCAGACCAGGGAAATCTGAATGAGAGACAAGATGCAACGTAAAGCCAAGCTTGCAAGATTGCGCGATGGTGAGTGGTGACTGAAAGAGTTTTCAAGAAAAACGCGTGGGTGAAAGAGTGTGAGGGCGCGCAGTGTACGCGTTGTTGTTTACACTCGTCGATGACGCCGCGCAGCCGTCAACACTGGCTATCTTCGTCCTGATTCAGAAAAAGTGAACGTAGGATAGGACAAGGCCAAGAGACTCAAGCAGCCTGGAACAATGGTCTCCAACTGAGAGATAAAGATCGCGAAAGATGTTTATGGTGACTGCGCGCTGTCGACTGACGTCACCGCAGTAGTGGAAAGACTCTTACTCTCACTTTCAGGAAACAAACACGATTTTTCTGGATCCAGGCATGAGACCTTGTGCGAGAGATTCAGTTCATACCCCAATAGACAGAACGGAGACCACTTGTAAAACACACGTTCTTGATAGTAGCCCATGCATGATATGACATGCTGACAGTGACAATTGGGGAAAAGTTTCCAACCTAAAATGCTAGTCCAGGCGTGTTGCGAGGATCCAGTGCTTCTTCACTCCCTTGCTCATTCGTTCGCAACACTCGCATGTAAGGTTCCGCTCGCATCGTATGGCCGCCACCTGCGGTCTCCATATCAAGACGAACTGACGTTATCTCAACGTTGTGGTGTTCCGAACGACGACGAAGAGCATTGAAGGCTGGAGCGCAGCCAATAATGACTGCCATCGAAGTCTCGATGACGGTCCACATTTGCAACCACTTCGGGTCTGGTATCTTCGGCAAGCCATCTTTGACGCTAACTTGAACAACACGAAGTGTCGCAAAGACCTGAAAGTAAGACATCATGTTAGTCTTGTCATTGAGGAATGCGGGCAGTAGCGGGTTATACATACAATACATATCCAACCACTTCCGAAGAGGACGAAGATGCCGAGCTTTTGAGCCCTGGGTAGTCGAAGGTTCCAGGTCATGCGAAACGGGAGGAACATTACTGCACTTGTCAGTGAGGTCCTGTAATCGATAGAACTGACATACGAACCTGCAAGATCACCAGCCACGTCTACTGCGTACGCAAACCATAGGCTAAACTGCGCACGCTTCTGCTCATTCGGTTTCGCGCACATGCCGTAGTTGTACTTCGCCTTTTGGTCATCGCAGACGAAGATGGTTGTCATAGCACTCCCCACATAAGACTGTTCGAGTGTTAGTAACGCGCGCTAGATATTCTTGATACGTTGCATTTACCAAAACACAAAATGCCAGAATCGCCCACCACATGACGTTGTACTTTGGCGAGGCTTTGTTCAATAGCAGTCGGTATAAGGCTAATAGTGATAGCTTTACTGCTGTCAGAGACGAATAGTACAACAATTGACCAGCCGTCAACCATCGATAGACCATTCCTGCATCACGAACTTAAAACAGTCAGTATGCCGCAGTATCTGCGTATGGAAAGATGATTGTACGCACGGAGTCCTGGATACAACGGCGCCTCGCCTCTCTGAACACGCTCGGCTCGATAGAGTGGGTCGTTCTCCTTGAAGAACATGACAAGCATTGCGACATAGAAAAGATAAGATAGACAACAGAAGAAGTCTTGCAGCTCGAATGTTCTCCGCTTGGATAATCGAATGGCAATACGCGCGACGAAGACCAAAGACGTCAGAGTCAGCATAGCGGTGTTGATGCCTTCCAATTCGCGTCGGCTCATGGTCGCTGGAGGTGCATTCTTGTCCCAAGTGACATCCGCAAGTTGCTGGGACGTCATGGTGTCGGGTTTGGGTATATCGGAAGTGTGTTGTTGAACATCCGACGCGGTGAAGCGTTCCAGTACTGTATGTCGTCAGGTATTTGGGTGCCGATGTGTGAAGCGATCGAGGAAGTAGCGAGAAATCTACATCAATAGCACCAGCAGGAACGTATGGATACATCAGATCAAGTATTTGATATCTGACCGCTTGCGAAGCGGAGCTATACGATTAGTATTCCCGTAAGCGCCTGTCTACCTTGTTAAGACTGATCTGCCGTACAAGGTACTTTGCGACGTGGGTCTGTATTACTGCATATCTCACGAAGACCGGTATTGCACTACCCAGTTGCGCAGACACAGCGTGCACTGCCATCGTGCGACCAGCCGAACAAAAGCTGTAGAGCTTATGGTCGCATCGTCGGTAACATTCGATAGCGCACCACTTTGAAAGTCTCTTATCGAGCCACTTGAGGATGTCGTCCAGCGGGGCCTGGAAGTACCTGCAGTATCGTTCACGGGCTGGTGGGGGCGATGTTACCGAGAGTAAGGTTCTCATTTCCAGGGTCGTCCCGCCTCCGCCGCTCGGCCGGCACAGCCATCCCCGTTCCGAGCATCCTTCTGCTATCAGAGCGCATCACTGTTCGACTTTGATTCATCTCCTTTTCGGAATGAACGTTGTTGTGGCCTTGAAAGTGCTATAGGCTGCTGGTCGATGTAAACTTCATAGCGGCGACGGATTGCGAGACGCGACTTCCCCTGGACCACACTAGGCTGGATTAAGAATAGCCGATAGCCAGCCCGAGGTGCGCATTCCGTGCAGGATACGGCAAGGCTTCGCTCACAACATCGCCACAATCCCGCAGGATCCAACCGTCTTCTTGCAGGAGGCTTAGCATTGCGCCAATGATCGGACACGTACCTCAAATTAGATGCTTACAGCCAAGCGAGGTGCAGAAGAATGCGGCGCACTGGTATGCTGTTAAAGAGGCCCCCAAGTGAGAGGGCCCCGGCCCCCCAGACCTCCACGCGCCCTTGGGAACCAAACGCGCAGGTTATTGCTCACGAACGCGCTGCCAAGTGACCTAACTCGCACAATTGATTGCAGCCATCAGCAGCGATGAAGGTCACATGTCTTGTTTCCATTGCAGCTCTTGCAGCCGGTGTGGGAGCCCAAGCTAGCGACGCTGCTTTTGAGCCGCAAGACTTCAACATCACTGCGGCTCTCGAAAACCTCGGCGTCGACGTTTCGGCTCTGCCAGAACCTGCGAATGCACTCAGTGCCCGTGTCTCAGATGCGCAATGCTCACATGCTGTAAGTTTTGTCATAATATCACGAACCTAGGGTTGCGCAAGCTGACAGACTCTAGTGCACAGCGCTGACGATACTCTTCGGCACCGACAAGGTCTTGGCTGAAGGAGCAACCACATACAGCAACTTTACCGGGGGATACTGGTCTGCGCAACAAGGCTTAGTACGACCTTCTTGTGTGTTCAAACCCACGAAGACAATCGAGGTCTCAACATTGGTGCTTGCGGCTAGGTTGTACCAATGCCCCTTCGCCGTTAAAGGCGGTGGCCATGCTGCGTGGGCCGGTGCATCTAGTATCGAAGATGGAATCACTGTATCGCTTGAAAGCTTCAAGCAGGCTGTTGTTGCCTCCGATAAGCAGACGGTCGACATTGGTCCTGGACTCCGATGGATAGACGTCTACAATGCTGTTGAGAAAGACGGTCTGAGTGTCGCGGGAGGGCGTGTAAGTCTACGCATCTGCGCCAAATTTATGGTTCTGCCACTGATCATAGGACTAGATGGCCCCCGTTGGCGTGCCTGGCCTCATTCTCGGAGGCGGCATATCTCACTTTGCGAGCAAGCGCGGTTGGGCTTGTGATAACGTGGCGAGTTTCGAACTCGTCACAGCTTCTGGTATCGCGATCAACGTCAGCGCGACCACTTATCCCGACCTATACTGGGCACTGAGAGGAGGCGGCAACAATTTCGGGATCGTTACAAACTTCGAGCTTGACGCTTTCCCTCTTGGCCAGATGTGGGGAGGCCAGCGGGTGTACCTCGAAGATGCATACCCCGCGGTACTCGATGCGATCCATCAATTCACAGTCTCTGGTTCTGTCAAGGATGAAGATGCTGCCCAGATTGTTGTAAGTGCGCTGAGCCGAATCCTCATACACGGAAAACTAACATCTCTAGACTTTCGCAAGCGCGCCCGGGATCGGCAAGTTGGCTTTCGCCAACCTCCACTACGCGAAGCCTATTGCGAACGCGCCTGTCTTCTCGAGTTGGGGTAATATCACTGCCATCGATGATACGACTGGCCTTCGCCCGATGTCCGGCATGGCCGATCTCCTCAATCAGGGTGCTCCTGCTCTTGGTGCTTTCCAGACCTGGTGGGGCATTAGTCTGAAGATGGACAGATCACTGCTCGAGTTCATCGTCGATACGTTCTACACGCAAGAAGCCACCGTCGCCGACATCGAGAAGATCCTGCTCATCATGGCTATCCAGCCCATCACCGAAAGCGCGACCAAGGCCATGCAAAAGAACGGTGGGAATGCTCTAGGTATCGATCCAGCAAACGGCCCGTACTTCGTGCTCAACTTCAACGCTGCCTGGAACAACAAAGAAGACGAGCCCAAGTTTCACAGTGTGATTGCCAACATCATCAAACTTGTAAAAGCGGAAGCGAAGCGGAGGAAGCTGGACAACGACTTTGTGTATCTTAACTACGCATCCGAATACCAAGACCCCATCGGCAGCTACGGAGCGAAGAACAAGCAACGACTGATGAAGATATCCAAGAAGTACGATCCGAAACAGGTCTTCCAATACCTGCAACCGGGTGGCTTCAAGCTTGTCAAAGGCGCGCCGAACCCGAATACTCCGTACGTACCAGTTGCCATTGATCATGAGCTCTAAAACGAGTCGTTATTGACGCGTGGTAGTGGCTCTTAGTTGTCTTGCACTGCGCAGACGATGGACAGGGAAACCAAGCGGTAGCTGCCTTTATGTTTGAAGCGTGGGCAAAAGAACTGTAACAAAAGAATATCTGAGCACTCAAAACTTTGCTTTATCGTCTCTTCGCGTTCAAAACGTATGCGATCCAGTCCGTCTTCGAACTGACGATTAGTGTGGGATGCAGTGAAAGTACAATCTGTCACGTGACCGTCACATTCACGCCAGATCGACAGAAACCTTGACTGGTACAGCTGACTCTCAGATCCGTGCTGAGCAATCGATTTACTAGTGAGTGCTATCAAACGTACTCTGTTAGCGATCTGCAGCGCGGGGAACCTCCAAGGGTCGACTCAGACTCTTCTACCTTCACGACAGCCTACCTGCCAAGGCGCGTGGCCAGATCAGGACTAGCGTCTCTTTCAAGCGGCATCATCAACACCAGCACCTGCGCAGTCTCGATAAGCCGTCACTTTACCGATAGCTGTGTCCACGCTGGACTCGCGAATATGGCCCTTACGTTCCGTAAAATCATCCACTTCGTACTCCTCATCGCCATCCTACTCCACGAACCTACATTCAAGCTCTTCGTCAACCTGCTCGTCAACGCACACATTTTCTCGCGCATCACTCTCGACACCATATGTACCCTGGTCGATGCGCACTTCCCCACGGTCGCATCCGTCACCACCGCAATGTTTCACGATCTACGAGCATTCGTATCGCAGCGGTATGAGTGGGTGATATCAGGACTTGCGGCACTGAGATATAATGGGCTGGTACATCTGGCGAGCTGGGCAATCACTTGGCTGAAGGAGAGCCCGGGATGGTTGTGTGAGATGAATGAGTTCATTGTTGCTACCGGGGAGGGGGCGTTGTGGAGAGTTCAGGGCGATGATGATGGAAAGATGACGGAGGATTGGTTACTGGCAGCGGAGAGATTGACGGGACATTGTGCAAGGGTACGGTCTGAAAGCTGAACAGACTTCGACAAAGCTTTGTTTAATGCTTCGGCTTTATGCTTTGATGAGCAATGAGGGGCGCAAAGTGAGAACTTAGAATTGGATTGAGAGAGTTATCAACTAAGACATCTTTGACAGGATGCGACATTATTCCATCGATGGGAACATAGTGAAAAAATGCTCTTAAAAGAACCATTATCTATCGATGAATGGTGACAGGAAGGGGGTAGAATGAGGCAATCGAATTTGAAACAACATGAACAAAGGAAAGAATGGCGACATGACCGGAGAACGCCAAAGCGCGCATTATAACGCTAACCCGGTGCGAAGGTACCTCAATCGATACTACCCCAGGGTATAGGCGAGAGGCCTGGAAAAGATGCAGATGACCGTGTGGACGAAACATTACATGGAGTCGCGCCGGCGATTCTTGCGAGGGCCGTCTTCCGAATCGTCTCTCTTGCGCTTGGTGTCTGTGCCGTTTGTACGAGGCTGACCGGTTTCCGTGGGCCGCTGCGCAGGGCTACGGCCATTCGTAGCGCCTCGAAGACCCTGGACTGCTTGGTCCCCGGATGAAAGAGGCGGACGAGCTGAAGGTGGATGCGTGATGGTCTGTGGAGCGGGCTGTGATGCTGGCCCCGTCGCATCCTGCTGACGTCCTCTGTCACGGTAATTTGGCGGTGGTTGAGTCCGTAATCGATCAGACCGTCTAAATTCTGCGCGCGGGCCAGTGGGCGGATTGAAGTTCGGGTGAGCCGTCTGGGGCTGTGCTGGCTGCACAGGCGGTGGTGTAGGATTGGCGACTGTCGAGTTCGACGCGCTAGAGGGAGGAAATGGCCCGTACGGTTGAGTCGCTTGGAATGTTTGGGCCAAGGTTGACACTCCTATAATATCTTGCTGACTCCTCTGTTGCACCGCCCTCTGTACATCAGCGATATGAGCCCTTCCTATGAGGCGCATGATCCTGTCCGGCCGGAAGGTGACGATATTCTCGGTATCCATTGCAGAAAATGCCATCCAGTATGCGCTGGAAGAAACGCGAAGAGTCGGAAGTCCGGCTGTGTTTGAAGGCGGTGGTCGACCTTCCACATGGATCAAGAAATATCTCGACACCTCGCCCGATTTCTTAATCTTTTCTTGGAGCGTGTTGTTACAGCTGGTGATTCTGAATCCAGTCCGCCTCTCGCCAGTCCCACCAGTAACCACGATCCTGGTGGTCTTTGAGCTGTGGAGACCTCCCGATGAAGGCGTGGTCTTGCCGTCGCCTAAAAACGCGTCTCGGTTGCCGGTTGGGCCCATCTCATGAATTTCCCAGATGTCACCGACTTGTACAGAATTGGAGTCAATCAGATCTGTCTTTTCGTCTTCGCCCTCGTAAACGACGTTGAAACCTACTACTGGTTTATCACAGTCAGGCTTTTTGAAAAGAGCGAATTTGCTGGCAGCGATAACCTCTTCGATGTCGTCGAAATTCGGTGGGTCATTGTTGCGCAAAGACGGAGGTGGATGATGTCTAGCACGGTCGTGAGCTAGTTGGAGTGTGTGGTTCTCATCCGTGTTCACCACGCGATTGTTGAACTCATTAACACCTGCTGGGGGCGTCTCAGATGCCGCATCTTGGACCCGTGAAGAAGCAACATTCAGCGGGTAAGTTGATGCGCGCTCGCGTGAATCCCGCTCGTATCGATGGGTACCACGTGTGTATGCAGTATCGAGCTCGACGGAGAGATCAGACTGCGCGGCATCCGGAGAGTTCCGCTGATCAGTCTGTCTCCTCTGATTTGCGATCGGGGTAGGGTCTCGACGACCTCGATACTCCGGACTCGGGCGCCGCTGATCTTGTTCGCGCCTAAAACTCCGACCGCGTGGTATCGGAGATACAGACCGAGTATGGTCACGTTGCCTACGGTCCGGGGAATTGGATCGCTGTCGATTGTGCCGTCGATCGTACGTGGGGGTCCAGAGGTCAGGCCCTCCTCTAATATGACCGCGACCCTGACCCAAGTCCTGCCGGCGCCGACGGTCATCATTGGCACGATATCCTCGGTTGTCACGTTGACCTGGCCCTGTTTGTCGTTAGAAACGCAGCTATTAAGCAGTGTAGAACCTATCATACTTCGTTGATCCTCTCTCCTCGCCATGTTTGGTTTATGGAATTCTCCCCAACCCGAGGTTCCAGATTAGGTGATCAGCTTGGAGGGGGCGGGCTGGTGTGGCGGTTGCTGGGTCTTGGTTGAGAACCATGCAAGGGTGTAAATGCCCGGCGAAGATCCGTCACAGGTCGTATGGCGAGTGAACAGGCCATGGTTTCTTACTTTCATTAGGCTGGCGATCCGTGTAGAATTGAACGTGCGTGCTCGGACGTGGTCCTTATCTTGGCATAGGTAGGGAGTGAAAGCTCAACCCTCCCCTTGCTCTGCTATGTTGCGCTCGTCCAACGCTTCAAGACAACCCCGTTCTCGTCACCTACTGGAATATGCATAAATTTGTTTAGATTATGATGGAGAGACATGTCCCGACTGACTAATCGATGATGACACAATGTCGAGAACCTGAATTATCGTGTCTTTGAGGCGTCAAACATGAAAGGCTTTGTCTATCAAACGCCCTTGTGGCTTTGATCCAATCACTTCCACAGCCTGCTCACCTCCCGCCTTGGGTTTCATTAACAAACGTGTGAAAGTTGTCTGGTAGTCTGCACTCATGGTAGACCACACGCCCAGAATGTCTCGTCCCATCATACGGAAGAGCATCACCTACTTTTTGAAGAGACGGGGACCCGCACAAAATGGGGCCAGCCATCTTAACAAGCGAATGAAAGGCGACGAGAAGCAACCTCGACTTGACCGAGACGACAAGCACGATTTTCGGGACGAAACGGATCCACCTTCACACCGCGCGGAGCCTTTTCACAAGTCAGGCAAACCTCGTATAGTAGATGATGACCCACATCCTCTACTAGCAGGCGAGAACGAAGACTTGCCGCAACAAAACGCGCTTGTCTTGTTCGATAAAGGTATCCGATCGGAGCCGTCAGATGACAGCAGTGAGGGGGCGAGTGGGTTATGGTCTGTTCTTAGAGAGGGAGATGGTAATCTTTTCTGCCAGTGCGAGTTGGAGGGCTGCCAACGTTGCTATCCCGGCAATGACCACGCCGCTTATTGCGGCTTATCGTCCTGCAAGGATTGCGCAGATCTCGGTCCAGGATACGATGAATGGCACGTCTGTCAAACCGCGCCAAATACTCATATTTTCACGTCTGGGGTCTCCGTTTTGGCTCGGACCTTTGACGGAAAGAAGAACGTTCTGTGCCTCGTAGTCGCCCGTCGACTGCTTGAAGCGATACGGAACGCGGTTGTTGAAGGTCGTCGATATCGTAAAACCAAGAAGCGGATTGATGCGGAGCTGGATATCACGAACAAAGACGCGCAACCCGCTTGGCAAGACTACCAACGTGCGATCACAGATCTCAGGGACCTAAAGAAAGAATTGGGTTTTGCATATCTTCCACATTTCCAGGAGCGAGCACATCTGATAGACGCGAGAAAGAATGTCCGACGCGCACAACTCCGCTATCGAGCTATCAAAACCCGGGAACGGCGGCTGAAAAGCAGGCTCAAAGATGCAGAATACTTCTGGTGGACTAGCTTGTGGGATCTTGATCATTACAACCAAATAATCTTGGAAGAAGCTGGAGTTGTACAAGATGACGGAGAGAGGCACTGGCGGGCAAATGATTATCGGTACCACCACAGAATTCGCTCCCGATATTACGGGGACGATGACGTGTATAAAGGTGAAGATACCAATACCGAAAGCTCCTCTCGTGAACTGAACTACACCGGAGGATCAACGCAAAACGAAGCGGCTATATTCAGGAATGAATGGATGGAATATCTTGCTGGTTTCGAAGCGAGTCTCCACTATGCGAGACAGCAGTACGACGAGGCTCGAGGCAATCATGGGCCTTTACTGGCCTACTACTGCCACGACAACCCTGGCCGTGACCTAGAGGAACTGAAGGACGAATATGGCCCGCATTTTCTTCAGCGCACACGCGAACGTATAAAGGCGATTCAGGAAGCGGAAGAAGCATTGGAAAACGCAAGGGTGGAGGCCAAGGGAGCTGGAATCGACCTGTACGCCGAGAATGATCACGATCTGAGATGCGATGACAAGGTTCAGGAGTACTTGATCGCGCAAGACGTTGAAAAGTTGATAGCCAATGTCGACCGCGGAAAGATCACTCGATGGCTGGAAAACTTCCGGAGGTACGAACCATGGCCAGTACTGAAGCTGGACTCTGACGGCGGGTTCGGGTCAGAGACTACTTCCATAGCATCTGCATCATCGACGGGAAGCTCAGACTCAGCGGGAAGCCAATCATTTGATAGGATAGGCTTGAGCTCACCTCATCACAGCCGTAAGAGGAGCAAGTTGATGGTAGGCGACGTAAATCTAGATAGCATCAGCGTGTTCAATGATTATGACTACATACGGCGTCATATTGATAGTTGGGCGACCAAGAAGCGGGGTGGATATCTGTGATCTATAGTCAAGCAGCGATTAGGCGTTGTTTTTCGGGTCTGGACGATTTGGTGGACATCGCATGATACATCGAACCCCGATTTCTCGACGCCTCTAGTCAATTGAAGCCTCCTAAGCAATATCGTCGATACTGCCGTTAATGCTCGTGAATGGCTGAAGAGGGGTTTGAATGACCTCTCGCTGGAAATTTGAAGGGTGGCGGACAAATTGCAGCGGAAGTCGGAGTCGAGTACTGCGGAATGCAAGCTTGGGTCTGGGCCACCCAACATAATACTGGGCGATACTGTTCATGTCGTCTACTTGTGATGTTGTCAGGGTGAAGAGGTTGGGATGGCTGGACGCGCCTCAAGCAAAAGAATGATGACGGCATCGAGCTAAAGCCTTCGCCTGTGCTTTCGGCAAGCGCCGGAATCCCGAGTTCGGCACACGTTCCAAGCCTCACACCACATCTTACCACTTCAGCCTTGCACTCAGCCTGACGCTACTTGACATTCCAAATCGGTATCGGAGTCGTAGCTATGCACTCAGGGGATGTGTTTACCGCTCAATCCGCCAGCTGTGTTGCATACCCCGAGCTGACCTCGCATTGTCACAGCGTCAAGTGTCGCGTCAAGGCCCGAGTTGGCCAGCAGTTTGTATCTCCTTATGGTTTACTGGAAAAACTGTCAGCCTACGTAGTTGTGCATCTCCGGACGTCACAACAGATTTATTGAAAGAGGTTGGTCCTCTCAAGTAACGTACGCGCGATTGGACGGTCGCCCTTATGTCCGGCGCAAGGGAATTTATCGTTATCCAAACACCAGGTGTGGCTTCGCGACGCGATTGGCTGTGCGCGTCGAAATTACGGTGAGATCGCATCCCTGCAAAATCGCAGGACGCTCGCAGCATCGCTCGTAGGGCTGTGTGCTAGGGCTGACATAGAAACCTGACAATTGTTGGTGATACTGTTTCATCCGGGAGCTACGTCTGCCGTTTTTCCCTATCGAGACATCGGCTCGACGAGCGCGCAGCCATTACCGCTACTCCTGTCGACTCATTGTGAGCCTTGCTGAACGTTACAGCACCTATGCAGGCACTGTGCGCGCGTTAGTCAGCGTCGTTTCCAGCACTATGGACGCAATGAGACATGCCCGGCGGCTCGGAACCGAGATACCTGATGCATGTCCCATGCCCGCGGGGGAAAGTTGCCTATCAATGGAGAGTCGGCACACACCTCGGGCGCGCAGAGATACACAAACACCCACTGAAATCATTCTAGCCCGAACCCATCCTCGCGTGGATCCTAGTACGGCATAAATCTGTTCTCGAACCTCGCTGGTGTTGCGCCCGTGTCCATTGCCCTTCCTATAAACTGGACCGGGATGCAGAAGGACCCATAGGTGTAGGTATACAGCTCCAAAATTATCATCTCATAAGCTGAACACGCCGATGGAACGTTTCACATGTCTGGGTGCTACTCCTGTCAGTCTGCAAAGGAACGCTTGATCAGACCATCGCGAATGCCGCACGGTGATGGTATCAAGATGTGAGAGGCGTCATAGCACCACCACCATATGCAGGCAGATTCGGCGAACAAGTTGCTCACCTCCAAACTATCGCCAGATAACCGTTCACTAGTAATATGCTAAGTGTCTAATTTAGGTTGTTTAACTTATAATTTAATAGGTATTTTTAGTATAGTAGTAAAGATAGCTATACTATAAGTATAAATTTTATAATACTATAGTTACTTATTTTTAAAGTATAAAATTCTATATAAGTAGTACTTAAATTTTTTTATAATACTTTAAATATTATTTTTATTATAAAAAATATATAGCTAATTTATATACTTACTAATACTAGTAACTTTATATATAAAAAATATAAATTAGCTACTTTATTTTAAAACTTAGTTTAGTAGTAAAATAAAATACTTAAGTATATTACTACTTATTATAATACTAGTAAGCTTAACTAAAAAAAATACTAATATAAAATAAAAGCTTTAATTTATAAGTAAGCTAAAGCTAAGTTTTTTTTTATATATTTTATAGTAACTATACTAGTAAAAGTTTATATCTTTATAAAGTAAAAATATAAAGCTTTTACTTACTTTTATAACTTTATAATTAGTACTTTTAATACTAGTATAATAATTTTTTTAATTTACTTTTAACTAAAAGTACTAAGTAACTTTAGTTAAAAAAAGTATAATAATACTATAAAAAAATTTTTACTAAAATTATAACTAAAGCTATAAAAGTAAAAAATACTTTTTTATAATAAAAAATAATTAGTTTATAATAGTAGTAAAGATACTTTAGAACTAAATAAATAATTAGTATAATTCTAATACTTAATACCTCTGCAGCGTAATGCTAGACACTAGGGGCTAGTAATATAACAAGACAAGAAGTTGGTTAGGCTTCTACCCGTAGTCAGCTAGAATAGGCTAGCCGGCCGCCCCCAGGCTAATCTAGTTGCGCGAATTGGCCGTCTGAGCCGTTTCCAGAGAACGAGAGCCTCCCTACTGCGTCGCGTCCAACCCAACACTCTTACTCGTCGTCCGTCCTTGTCTGCAGCTGAAGACGCAGGCCAGTGCAGCTACAGCCGATCGCCGTTGTATCTGCCTCTCCGCTTGATGACGGCCGCGAGCATGGGTTCGGAAGCTCCGCGGCAAGCTGATTCGCAGCGGCATGGCGAGCGGGGGTCCTGCGGCAGCGCCGAGCAACGCCTCGTGTCTGACTGACCCACTTCTTTTCTTACAGGCTCTCGAAATACCACACCATACATGGCAGCTGTATGAATCTTCGTTGGGGGCTGAGAATTTCATCGTCATCCCAAATCATTTATTAACGACTGAGCCCCCAATGGACGCCGTACGCCCCAAGAAGCATAGCCAGCCCCTGAGCATTTGGGCCGCGGCACAGAATTGACAATGGCATCGAATGGTACTCACAACGACTTCATCAACATCACCACTCCACACTCTAGGGCGCCCAGCATGGTTCAAGAGACGCCTGCTCCTGCCCCACGGCCACGCTTGCCGGTCAGAAAACAAGCTCCTCAGAGGAACATCGACGAGTTCTGGAACAAATTTACGACCAAACACCCCGGTAAGATCTTTACAATCTTACCCGACAATCTGTATGCGAAACGTGCCGCCGCACATGCGCCGAGAGGTTCCATACCTGGGGTCAATGCGCTTGCATCCTACGAGGAGGCCAAGGAAGCCTGCACCAGAAAGGTCGCAAAGATCGTCAAAGAATGCCGACGACTGAACCAAAAGTATCGAGATCCACATTTCGATATAGAGGCCGACTTCAAACGGTCGCAGCTTATTCCAGACACTCCCGCCGACTGCTTGACTGGGCTCAATGAAGAGAACGCCGACTTTCATCCTTTGTCGGTCAAGAGAGTCGAGGTATGTATTACCACCCCACTATCGTCGCATGCCTAACTCGTCACAGGACACCTTCGATGAACCACGATTTTTCATCGAAGGCGCCACCGCGAACGATGTGCGACAGGGCAATGACGGTGACTGCTGGTTCATGTCGGCACTGGCGACGATCTCGAACAAGGAAGAATTGATACAGCGGGTGTGCGTTGCGCGCGATGAGCAGGTCGGCGTGTACGGATTTGTCTTCCACAGAGGTAAAGACATGACTATATAGTCGGGTAGCTCACAAGCTGACTTATCTCAGATGGCGAATGGATATCCGAGGTCATCGACGACAAGCTATATCTCATCAAGGAGGACTTTGACGAAGCAAAACTTGAGCGCTCCCACTGGTTGGAACTTCAGAACCGGAAAAGCCCCGAAGATGAATACCGGACTGTCATGCAAACCGGTTCCAGGGCCCTGTACTTCGCGCAATGCAGCGATCCCAATGAAACATGGCTGCCACTGCTGGAAAAGGCTTTTGCCAAAGCACACGGCGACTACAGTGCCATTAATGGCGGCTTTGTAGGCGAAGGTATCGAGGACCTGACTGGAGGTGTCACGTCTGAAATTTTTGCAACCGACATCTTGGATAAGGACAAGTTCTGGCACGAAGAGCTCATGAACGTCAATAAGACGTTTCTCTTCGGATGTGGCCAGATGGGCGGTATCTACGGCGCTCGCAAAGGTATCCAGGAGAAACATGCATACTCCGTCATGGAAGCACGCGAGATCGATGGCCAGCGCCTGCTGAAGCTTCGGAACCCCTGGGGCCGCACCGAGTGGACTGGTCGCTGGAGTGACGGTTCAGAAGAATGGACTCCAGAATGGATGAAGAAGCTCGACCACAAATTCGGGGACGACGGTGTCTTCTGGATCTCGTACAAGGACCTTCTGCGTACCTACCAGCATTTTGACCGTACACGACTGTTCGGTCCGGAATGGACGGTTTCTCAGCAGTGGACAAGTGTCAACGTTCCGTGGAGCGTCGACTACCTCGACACCAAGTTCAAGATACATCTCGCGAAGGGCGGCCCCGTAGTCATCGTGCTTAGCCAGCTTGATGATCGCTACTACCAAGGTCTGGAAGGTCAGTATGAGTTTAACCTACAGTTCCGGCTCCACAAAGACGACGAAGAAGAGTACATCGTTCGCAGCAACGGCACGTACTATATGACGCGCTCTGTCTCTACCGAGCTGGATCTTGAGCCTGGTAATTACACCGTCCTGCTCAAGATCAAAGCGACCAGAATTCCTGACAATCCGACACCTGATGAAGTCATTCGGATGACCTGTACCAAACGGCGCGAGAAACTGCTCTCGATCGGGCTGTCTTACGATCTCGCGCATGCCAAAGGACACTTCAGAGAGCAAGAAGAAGACAAGGCCAAACGTCACAAAGAGGAGAGAGTTGAG